GATGATCTTGATCCCCTGACCTTGTGTTCCACCTGCCTCCCAAAGTGCTGGGATTACAGGCATGAGCCACCACGCCTGGCATGAGAATTTTTAACAATGGAAAATATGATTAGGTATTTTTGAAACCCACCTCTTTTATGCCCTTTGTAAATACCATCTTACCTTTCAAGCTCTACAAAAAAAATACAATCTACAATTTTAAAAAGTCAATGTAGGCCGGGTGTAGTGGTTCACGCCTGTAATCCAAGCACTTTGGAGGCCAAGGCGGACGGATCACCTGAGGTTGAGAGTTCAAGACCAGCTTGACCAACATGGTGAAACCCCATCTTAAAAAAAAAAAAAAAAAAAAAAAAAAGAGGCCAGGCACAGTGGCTCACGCCTGTAATCCCAGCACTTTGGGAGGCCGAGGCAGATGGATCACGAGGTCAAGAGATTGAGACCATCCTGGTCAACATGGTAAAATCCCGTCTCTACAAAAAATACAAAAAATTAGCTAGGCATGGTGGCGCATGCCTGTAATCCCAGCTACTCAGGAGGCTGAGGAAGGAGAACGGCTTGAATCTGGGAGGCAGAGGCCTCAGTGAGCCAAAATGGTGCCACTGCACTCCAGCCTGAGCAACAAGAATGAAACTCTGTCTCACACACACAAAAAAAAAAAAGAAGAAAAAGAAAACAAATGTTTTCTGACTCATGTGTCAAGCCAGGCCCTCCGATCCCTGGAGATTCTCCCACCCCATCCTGCTCATTTAACTGCCCAATGACCACCTTCTCCGGAGACACTGCTCTATGTCCCATGAGTTCTTACACTGTCTCACTGGGGTCAGGTTTTTTTTTTTTCTTTGGGGATACAATTTTTTCACAAATCTTAGAGAATCCAGGTGGCAGAAATTATTTGTTTTCCCTTCAGTATCAGCATCTGATCGCTGACCAGCAATGTGTCTCCAAGAAATGGAAGCTGACATGTCTTAAAGGGTTAGCTTTTCAAAAGAAGAATACACTAGGATATTCCTCTCAGCCCCAGGGCATTCACCTTCTTGAGAGGCTACACACCATACCTCAGGTTGTTCTGTAAGAGGAAATGACCCAAGAGCTGACATTAAGTCTAACAGATAGACATGGTGGGTATCTTGGTTTACTCAGACAGTACTGAAATCCAGGACCAGGAAAAAACTAAAGGGCAGCTGAGGACACATCACCCCGTAGAGTTTCCAAAAAACATTGACACGGAAACATTCTATCTCTGCACTTAGGGAAGATAAAAGAAAAAGAGGCAGAGATTTTTTTACAATACAGTATCAGGGGATTACTCTTGGCATTCTTCTCATGGAAAATACTTAAAAAACAGCAAGGCCGGGCACGGTGGCTCAAGCCTGTAATCCCAGCACTTTAGGAGGCCGAGACGGGTGGATCACGAGGTCGAGAGATCGAGACCATCCTGGTCAACATGGTGAAACCCCGTCTCTACTAAAAATACAAAAAAAATTAGCTGGGCACGGTGGTGCATGCCTGTAATCCCAGCTACTCAGGAGGCTGAGGCAGGAGAATTGCCTGAACCCAGGAGGCAGAGGTTGCGGTGAGCCGAGATCGCGCCATTGCACTCCAGCCTGGGTAACAAGAACGAAACTCTGTCTCAAAAAAAAAAAAACAAACAGCAAACAAGACTGGGTACAGTGGATCACGCCTGTAATACTGGTACTTGGGGAAGCCAAGGTGGGCAGCTCACAAGGTCAGGAGTTCGAGACCAGCCTGGCCAACATGGTGAAACCCCATCTCTACTAAAAATAAAAAATTAGCTGGCCGTGATGGCACACGCCTGTAATCCCAGTTACTCAGGAAGCTGAGGCAAGAGAATCAGTTGAACCTCGGGAAACTCCATCTCAACAAACAAACAAAAACAAAAAACAAATTTTTTAAATGTGCTATTCAGTGTGGTGTCAGTAAATAATTAATTAAATACAGTATCAAAAATGTACACTAAAGAACAAATAGTTCATACTGTGAATTGGGGAGAGAAAATTCACAGCTCCTTGAAGTAGAATACTAAATTTTCACTTATTGAGATTGTCAGAACAACTGGAAATTTAGTATGTATTTTACTTCAAGCCAGAGTTAGGCTGGAGGTAAGAACTGGGGGTACACTTGAGACCCTGCTTAAAACATATGTAAAAAATGCAGGGGAAAATCAGTCCTCTGTGCAGTGTGAAAATAGTTAAGTGGCAGGCAATTAGACTGAGGCGGAAATCTATCTAGTCCCTGGATTCCTGCTTTGAAAAAATCTAACTCAAATGCACATTTTCTATTTTTGTAAATTACTACATTATATGTAAAAAAATTTAGGTTTAACCTAAATAAACTGTCAATTAAACTCCAATTATATAACTAGGAATTTTGTACCTTCAGGGTAGAAATAAAGAAACTGAGACTGGGAGTGGTGGCTCACGCCTATAATCCTAGCATTTGGGAGGCCGAGGGGGGCGGATCACGAGGTCAAGAGATCAAGACCCTCCTGGTCAACAAGGTGAAACCCCGTCTCTACTAAAAATACAAAAATTAGCTGGGCATGGTGGTGCGCACCTGTAGTCCCAGCTACTCGTGAGGCTGAGGCAGGAGAATTGCTTGAACCCTGGAGGCAGAGGTTGCGATGAGCCGAGATCATGCCATTGCACTCCAGCCTGGGTAACAAGAGCGAAACTCCGTCTCAAAAAAAAAAGAAGAAGAAACCCCATCTCTACAAATATGCAAAAATTAGGCCGGTCAGGCACGATAGCTCATGCCTCTAATCCCGGCACTTTGGGAGCCGGAGGTGGAGGTGGGCGGATCACCTGAGGTTGGGCGTTCAAGACCAGCCTAACTAACATGGAGAAACTCCATCTCTACTAAAAAATACAAAATTAGCCTTGAGTCCCAGCTAATAGGCAGGAGGCTGAGGCAGAAAAGTCGCTTGAACCTGGGAGGCAGAGGTTGCGGTGAGCCGAGATCGTGCCATTGCACTCCAGCCTGGGCAACAAGAGTGAAACCCCGTCTTAAAAAAAAAAAAGAAAGAAAAGAAAGTTAGCCAAGGGTGGTGGCAGGCACCTGTAATCCCAGCTACACGGGAGGCTAAGAGGCAGGAGAATTGCTTGAACCAGGGAGGCAGAGGTTGCAGTGAGCCAAGATCGCGCTACTGCCCTCCAGCTTGGACATCAGTGCACGACTCTGTCTCAGAAAGAAAAAAAAAGTAAAGAGAACGAAAGAAGCGGTGGGGGGAAGGGGGACGAGAGAGGGAGAGAGGGAAAGAGGTGGGGGGGAGGGATGGAGGGAGGGATGGAGGGGGAGGGAGGGAGACACTGCATAACTGTACCTAAGCAATTAATTTTTTGCATCGCGCACCTGTAAGTCTTTAAAGTCCCTCTCATGAACCAAAAGCAACCCATAAGGGTGCTCTACAATTTTTGAACCACTCTTTGATCAAATTGTTTTAATATTTTTGCAGAGGCTGCCATAATTTTTTGTTTGTTTTGTTTTTTGAGATGGAGTCTTACTCTGTCGCCCAAGCTAGAGTGCAGTGGGGCGATCTCGGCTCACTGCAACCTCCCCCTCCTGGGTTCAAGCGATTTTCCTGCCTCAGTCTCCTAAATAGTTGGGATTACAGGCCTACTTCACCAAGCCCGGCTAATTTTTATTTTCATTTATTTATTTTTTGAGACGGAGTTTCTCTCTTATTGCCCAGGCTGGAGTTGCAATGGTTCCCATCTCAGCTCACAGGCAACCTCCGCCTCCCTGGCTCAACCAATTCTCCTGCCTCTGTCTCCTGAGTAGCTGGGATTATAGGCGCTATACCAGGCTATTTATTATTATTTTTATTATTATTATTTTGGCAATTTATTATTATTATTATTATTTTGAGACAGTCTCGCTCTGTCGCCCAGGCTGGACTCCACTGGTGCTATCTCGGCTCACTGCAACTTCCGCCTCCTAGGTTCAAGCAATTCTCCCGCCTCGTGAGTAGCTGGGATTACAGGCGCGCGCCACCATACCCAGCTTTTTTGTATTTTTAGTACAGGCGGGGTTTTGCCATGTTGGTTACGCTGGTCTCAAACTCCTGACCATGTGATCCACCCGTCTTGACATCCCAAAGTGCTGGGATTACAGGCGTGAGCTACCTCGCCCAGCTAAATTTTTATATCTTTTTTTTTTGAGACAGAGTTTCACTCTCGTTACCCAGGCTGGAGTGCAATGGCGAGATGTCCGCTCACCACAACCTCCTCCTGCCGGGTTCAAGCGATTCTCCTGCCTCAGCCTCCCGAGTTGCTGGGATTACAGGCATGCACTACCACACCCGGCTAATTTTCTATTTTTAGTAGAGACAGGGTTTCTCCCTGTTGGTCAGATTGGCCTGGAACTCCTGATCTCAAGTGATCTGCCTGCTTCGGCCATTCAAAGTGCTGGGATTACAGGCATGAGCCACCGCACCCAGCCATTTTTGTATCTGTAGTAGAGCTGGAGTTTCGCCATGTTGGCCAGGTTGGTCTCGAACTCCTGGCCTCCGGTGATCCGCCCGCTTTGGCCTCTCAAAGTGCTGGAATTATAAGAGTGAGCCACCGAGACCAGCCTGCCGTACATTTTTAATAGGAGAAAAGACGAACTCGAAAGGCGGCGGACTAAAGCTCTTCCCATCCATGTACCCGCACCCGGATTCAGAATTCTCCCCTGAAGACCCTCCCGTGGTTCCTGTGCAATCTGAGAGAGACGCAGCGCTGCGAATGCAAAGCTGCCAGAGAGGGCTCCAGGCCAGGGCACAGTCACTACGCAGGGAAGAGACAGGACGTCCGGGGACCCGGCTGTCAGCGCAGCCGCCATCTTATGGCTGAAAGGGACTGAGGCCGAGCTGGGCAAGGAGAACTCGGGGCGCAGATTGTGGAACTGACTGTGGGGAGGCCTGAGTCCGCCACGGCCACTTCCCACTGGTTTTTCAACCAGTCCCTCCCTCTCTCTCTGAATGTCGGACCCGGCACTCTCACCATTTCTAGGCTTCCAGGGGTCCTGGCGTCTTAGCTGTGGATCTCTCAAAACCTGCAGGTCACCGGGCCTCAGAGGATGGGCCTCTAGGAGCGGAGGACACAGAGAAACGAAGACGAAACCCGAAGCTCCGGCTGCAGCAAGGACAAAGGCCCCGCCAAATTCCGGAAGCCGCCCTGTCCGCTCCAGCTGCGTGCCTGATTGGACGATTCCAAGTTTAGCCTCTCTGATTGGAAAACGTCTACGTCCCCGCCCCTTCAGGCCTTGAGTGACAGAAGATGTGACCAAATGCTGGGCGGAATGAAGAAAGAGTGACAGTCTAAGCTGCGGCGTTTTCAGGCAGGGCTGGCTTCCTGAGCTTAGCCAGGCCCACCCCAGAATGTATTTGCATTTAAACTCGTGTATAAGGTCTCACGTATTTATAAATAATACACTATATGGCTATTCACAAATCCATAATAACAATTATTTTTAAATTTCAGCTTTTATGATTTTCCTGGCTTCCGGCATTTGAACAAGCAGCCTGAGATTTCAAAAAGGAAGCAATCCTCTGAAATAAAATATAAGCCACATCTGAATTTTAAATTTTCTAGTGGCCAAACTTTAAAAAGAAACAAGAAACAGGGTGGATTTGATTGTAACAATTTAATTTACCCAATATATCCAAAATATTATTTTAATATGTGAGCAATATATTTTTAATGAAATATATATATAAATATAACTGAATCTTTGAAACTAACTCTGTATTTTACCTTTCTAACATATCACCACTCAATAGCCACACATCACCAATAACCGTCACATTGAAGTGCAGCTCAGATGTCAGCTGCGTGAAGGCCCTGAACATCTTTTCTCTGCAGCGGTGGGGGAAAGCCTCTTCTTACCAACATCTCTCTTCAGTTCCGAGGGTGGAATAGATAGTGGCCATAGAAAGAGCAGAAGGCAGCAAGAATAAAATAACCACACCTAGACCACTACTGGCCATCTGTTCCCCACTTTCCTTCCAGAGATTAGACAGTGAACAAAAAGTGATGGGGCAACAGGACAAGAAAACGGTGTGTCTTCAGATCTGTCCACAGTCTTGACTACTAACGTTTAAGTATGAAGAAAATAGATTCAAGGCAAACTTAAAATGGTCAGGCTGTGGTTATCTGTTTTCCTTTGTGGTTTCGGGGACTGTGTAAGTATTAGCACAAGTCACATGCATAAATATCTACATGTATTTCTGCATTACTCAGCATTATCTTACAACTTTATTGTTTTGTTGTTGTTTTGTTTTTGAGATGGAGTTTCACTCTTATTGCCCAGGCTGGAGAGCAATGGCATGATTTTGTCTCACCTCAACTTCTGCCTCCCAGGCTCAAGCGATTCTTCTGCCTCAGCCTCCCCAGCAACTGGGATTATAGGCATGTGCCACCATGCCCAGCTACTTTTGTGTTTTTAGTAGAGATGGGGTTTCTCCATCTTGGTCAGACTGGTCTCGAACTCCTGATCTCAGGCAATCCACCTGCTTCTGCCTCCCAAAGTGCTGGGATTACAAGCATGAGCCACCTCCCCCTGCCACAAGACAATGTTAAATCAAAAATTAAAAAACTACCAGCCTTATCAACATGATGAAACCCCGTCTCTACTAAAAATACAAAAAAATTAGCAGGGTGTGGTAGCAGGCACCTGTAATCCCAGCTACTCGGGAGGCTGAAGTAGAATTGCTTGAACCTGGGAGACAGAGGTTGCTGTGAGCCGAGATTGTGTCACTGCACTATAGCCTGGGCAACAAGAGCAAGACTCCATCTCAAAAAAAAAAAAAAAATTAGAGGCCAGGCACAGTGGTTCGCACCTGTAATCTCAGCACTTTCAGAGGCCGAGGCAGGCAGATCATGAGTCAGGAGATCAAGACCATCCTGGCCAAAAGAGTGAAACCCCATCTCTACTAAAAATACAAAAATTAGCTGGGCATGGTGGCAGGTGCCTGTAATCCCAGCTACTCACAAGGCTGAAGCAACTCCAAAGAGTTGGAGGTTGTAGTTAGATATGGTGCTACGACACTCCAGCCTGGTGACAGAGCTAGACTACGTCTCGCAAATTAAAAATAAAAAATTAGTACCTTCAGGGTGCCCACTGTTAGAATGTAATAGGCAATTAACCTGTCATAATATCCTGGCATTTTAACTGCACTGGGTGCATGCATTAGTTAGTTAGCTATTGAGGCATAACAAATAATCCAAAACTTATTAGGTCATAATTGAGATGGTTACCCATTTATGCTGGGCTCAGGGGGCCATTCTGGTCTCAGCTGAACTCCTTCAGATATGTATTATCAGCTGCTTGTTGAATAGGCAGCTGTGCTCCTGGGGATGAGCTTCTGCTTCTGGGACTGTTGCCAGAAGCACCTTGTTTCTCTTCTCCATGATATATTATCCTCCAGCTGGTTAACATGGGCTTTATTCATAAAGATGGTAGCATTCTGAAAAGAAACAGAAGCATTCAAAATATTTTAAGCATAGGCCCCAAACTAGCACAGTGTCACGTTCACAGGTTTTTACTGCCCTTAGCAAGGAAGGCCAGCCAGACCTACAATTTGTAGAATAGATCTGGATCTCAATGGCACCAGCTATAAAAGCTCCTGGCAATGGGCATGATATATAGGAGGGATGAAAATTGCTACAACTGTTGCAATCAGTATTGTTCTGCCCTTTTTTTTTTTTTTTTTTTTTAAGACGGAGTTTCGCTCTTGTTTACCGAGGAGGCTGGAGTGCAATGGCGCGATCTCGGCTCACCGCAACCTCCGCCTCCTGGGTTCAGGTAATTCCCTGCCTCAGCCTCCTGAGTAGCTGGGACTACAGGCACAGGCCACTATGCCCAGCTAATTTTTTGTATTTTTAGTAGAGACGGGGTTTCGCCATGTTGACCAGGATGGTCTCGATTTCTTGACCTCGTGATCCACCCGCCTCTGCCTCCCAAAATTCTGGGATTACAGGTGTGAGCCACCGCACCCGGCCCTATTCTGCCTTTCTTTACATATGTGGTTTATACAACTTTTTTTTTCCTTGGGACAGAGTTTCACTCTTGTCGCCCAGGCTGAAGTGCAATGGTGCTTTCTCAGCTCACTATAACCTCCACCTCTCAGGTTCAAGCAATTTTCCTGCCTCAGCCTCCCAGGTAGCTGGTATTACAGGCACCTGCCACCACACCTGGCCTTTTTTTTTTTTTTTTGGTATTTTTAGTAGAGACACAGTTTCTCCAAGTTGGCCAGGCTGGTCTTGAACCCCTGACCTCAGGTGATCCGCCTGCCTCAGCCTCCCAAAGTGCTGGGATTACACAGGGCCTGGCCTAGTTTATTTATTTATTTAGGCTCAGTTTGGATAGACCAAGACTTTAGATATTGATATCACTTTGTCACCATCAAAAATGTACTTATTTAGTCTCCAATCCCAGTGTGAAATAGAACTATGGTTTGTAAATGAGAAACAAGAACTTCTGGTTATTAAAATTATCTTTTTTTTTTTTTTTTTTTTGAGACGGAGTTTCGCTCTTGTTACCCAGACTGGAGTGCAATGGCATGATCTTGGCTCACCGCAACCTCCGCCTTCTGGGTTCCAGCAATTCTCTTGCCTCAGCCTCCTGAGTAGCTGGGATTACAGGCACGCACCACCATGCCCAGCTAATTTTTGTATTTTTTTTTTTTTTTTTTTGAGACGGAGTTTCACTCTTGTTACCCAGGCTGGAGTGCAATGGCTCGATCTCGGCTCACCGCAACCTCCGCGTCCTGGGTTCAGGCAATTCTCCTGCCCAGCCTCCTGAGTAGCTGGGATTACAGGCACGCGCCACCGTGCCCAGCTAATTTTTTCATATTTTTAGTAGAGACGGGGTTTCACCATGTTGACCAGGATGGTCTCGATCTCTTGACCTCGTGATCCACCCGCCTCAGCCTCCCAAAGTGCTGGGATTACAGGCGTGAGCCACTGCTCTCGGCCAATTTTTGTATTTTTAATAGAGACGGGGTTTCACCTTGTTGACCAGGATGGTCTCAATCTCTTGACCTCGTGATCCACCTGCCTCGGCCTCCCATAGTGCTGGGATTATAGGCGTGAGCCACCGCGCCCGGCCAACAATTATCTTATTTATTTATTTATTTTTATCTCACTCTGTCGACCAGTCTGGAGTGCAGTGGCGCAATCTCAGTTCACTGCAACTTCTGCTTCCCAGGTTCAAGGGGTTCTCCTGCCTTAGCCTCCTAAGTAGGTGGGATTACAGGTGTGTGCCATCATGCCCAGCTAATTTTTGTATTTTTAGTAGAGACAGCGTTTCCCATGTTGGTCAGACTGCTCTCAAACTCCTGACCTTGTGATCCGCCTGCCTTGGCCTCCCAAAGTGCTGGGAGTACAGGCGTGAGGCACTAGGCCCAGCCTGTCTTATTAATTTTTAAAGGGTTAGAGTAGAAGGCTGGGCAAGGTGGCTCACACCTGTACTCCTAGCATTTTGGGAGGCCGAGATGGGTGGATCACCAGAGGTCAGGAGTTCGAGACCAGCCTGGCCCACCTGGTAAAACTTCATCTCTAAAAAAACGAAAAAGAAATAAAAATAGATCAAATAATTAGCTAATTGGTCTACTCATTTAAATCAAGCAGCCTTTTCATTAATTCCCTACAACTGTATCTCTGTAACATCTGATGTCTTTCTTCATGTGAAACTACAAGTAATAGAAACTGCACAGGTACTTCTGTTTATCCAGTAAGTAACCTAGAGAAATTCTATTATTTAGCAAAACTTTAGTAAGAAAATTTCTTACTAGCCTGTAATCCCAGCTACTAGGGAGGCTGAGGCAGGAGGATCCTTTGAACCTGGGAGGTGGAGGTTGTAATGAGTCAAGATCATGCCACTGCACTCCAGTCTGGGCAACAGAGTGAGACTCCATCTCAAAAAAGAAAAAAATAATAATTCTGGCCAGGCGTGGTGGCTCACGCCTGTAATCCAAGCACTTTGGAGGCCAAGGCGGGCGGATCACCTGAGGTCAGGAGTTCAAGATCAGCCTGACCAACGTGGTGAAACCCCATCTTAAAATAATAATAATAATAATTCTACTATTTTGTAACCATAGCCTTACAGTAGAATCTGCTATCAAGTCCTATTATGGGGGATAAGTTTCTTTCTTTCTTTTTTTTTTTTAAGACGGAGTTTCACCATGTTGG